GCCCCGTTACAGACGATGACCAGGGCGAGAATCGCGTAACCTCTCGGTGACTATTGCGGCACGCTTTTCTTTAATGACCCATGGTGAGCGACGCTGGTGTAGTAGACCGCATGCTACCGCTCATGGACTACATTGTGATTTCGGTGTAGCATTACAAGTAGGCCGAGACTACAGCGTAGGCTTGATTCTAGACGGTCTAGATTCGGCCAGAGTTGCTCTGGTGTGCATCGGGTGCTTCAAATTAATTGAGATGCAGGTGGGAAACAACAAAGCTTTGGAGCACACAATTTTTTCGTTATATCGTTTCCTGCGCTATCGTGGGAGTAGTCATTGAGCCGTGACTTTCGTGTGAAAGTTCTCCTGTTTGATGATAGCGGCGTTTCTAGAATGCATACGTACTGATCTACTTGCGAGCGCTGAGCATGTCGAAAGTGCTTCTCGGGTTCCGACTGCCACGCTCAAAGTAAAAGACGGTCCACAGGTGCGCCGCTCCCAAACATCTTCTTCACCAGGTCAGACAGGTGTTCGCCGTATTCCTTTAATTTTTCAATCGCAGCATCATCTTGGATTTCGGGGACTGATCGGGAGGGACGACGCATATCGAGCATGAACTGACTGGCGGATTCGTATTCCTTCAGAAACTCCGTACGCAGTGACGGATTGACACCTACGGCCTTCATGGTGCCTTCAATGATCTTCCTCGTTCGGGTGTAATGCTTTCGTTTGAGCAAAAATGTCCAACTCATACCGCCAAGGAACTCCTCAGGGCCACCGTATCTCATACTTATGAGTCGATAGTACAGATTCGAGCCTTCTTCGCCTCTTATGACACGTCCACAATACTTCATCAGCGTGACGTCTGCCGCACTGTTGTGCTTGATAAAATCTGTAAAATAGGGCTCTTTCAGTTCCTCTAACTCGTCCGTCGGTTTCTTGTTTCTCTGGTCCCACCGATGTATTAGAATCTTCAAGTGCTCCTCCCCGAAATCTTGCACCTTCTTGTCCTTCGACGATAGCAGACCGGCGAGGATCCTAGCCATATCAGCTTCGCCTTCCACAGAGAGAGGGTTCTTAAGCAAATCTTCGTAGCGCGCGGAGCTCAACAGCTTCGTCACCTCCGAGCTCTTTAGAAGCGCCTCATCAAACATGTATCCTGGAAACATGGCCTTGAAACCGTCAAAAAACTGGATGTAGACATGCTCCTGCGGCTGATACTTGACCAAGGCCGAGCTTACAGCCGATTCGATCTTATTGACAACACCTTCGCCAAGAAGCCCTCCGCCCATGCTGACGCCTTGAGTGCTCGACCTCAAGGACCTGCTGAACGAGATGTCATCGTGACCGTTGGACAATGCAGGAACGACAGTCGGGGCACGGAGTCCCGTTGCCGTCGATGCCGCAGCCTCTAAGACGCTTACAGTGCAGGGCTGGATAATAGACGTGGTCGCGAGCGCGAAAGTGATGACGCGCATGGTTGGGAAGGATTGGGTGGGGGCGACAAAAATGCGAAGTGCCTTGGGACTGGGTGGGGTGCGACGAAATTGCGAAGTGCCTCAGGATTGGAGACAAGAGCTTGCTTACTGGAACAAGAAGACCTGGTGAGGAAGAGCCATGGCGGCGGGAACGCATCACTGACAATCTCTTTGAGTAGCGTAAAGTATGTCTGCAGCACTTTCAAACTCACGGCACATTCGGCACACCAGTTTTTTGCGTGCGTGCCGGCTTCACGTCGAGCAGCTTCTCGATGCAGCATCAGCCGACGAGGACCACTTGTTGCAATAAGCTGATCGGCACCAAACAGATCCGAGCTTTGGGTACGACTGCTTCTGGTCCGGCTGATGACTGTCGCGACCCGGGAAACTGTCCAGTGCATCTGATTCTGGAACAACTTGGTGCACACCAGTGCTTGGAATTCGTACGTGGACGTGGACTCGCTGCGGTGTTTTAATGATTGAAGTTTCTCTTCCTGCTCTTCCCATTCTACTCCACATGCCTCTACGCACGCGAGACACCTCCAGTCTGCAAGTTTCGCGACTTCATACAGGTGGACTCGAATGGACAAGATCTTATCTCAGTAGTACGATCAGTTTTGACAGATCGTGTGGCCTCTCCTTGTGATTGGTGGTAGCGTGGCCTTCCCGTAGCAAGTTTCCGTGAATGCAGATGGTCATGTTTGCTGATTTGTTGCAAAGGTATTGAGCCATCGAGGACTAGCATGTGTATATATCTGCAGCTTTCAGCAGTGTCCGCTGCGCGCGACTCAGCCCATGTAACTAGCTCGGCGATTGGAATCGTAGGCTACTTGGAATATTGTACGACACCGCAGCGAGTCCACGTCCACGTACGAATTCCAAGCACTGGTGTGCACCAAGTTGTTCCAGAATCAGATGCACTGGACAGTTTCCCGGGTCGCGACAGTCATCTGCCGGACCAGAAGCAGTCGTACCCAAAGCTCGGATCTGTTTGGTGCCGATCAGCTTATTGCAACAAGTGGTCCTATCGGGCCTTCATGCCCAGCCTGCCAAGAGCAAATTGATTTTTTTAAACACGGCTATCAGGCTACACCAGTATGGTGGCATCTCAGTCTTACAACACAGAGAGACAACGCGATACCTGGGGTACGAAGTGGGGACAGGGGCATTGTTCGATCGAAACTGGGCGCTTCGGCTTCAGAAAATCCGTCGGCGGCTTCTCACTGCAGCGAAAGTAGCGACTAGTGTGCAAAATCGTGTCCTCATTCTTAACGCGATCATCTTACCGGCTATCCTGTTCACCGCGGCCGTCTTCGATGTGCCGAGCTGGGCGAGAACGGAGATATCTCGGCTGTACCGCCAATTCCTGTGGGCGCACGCTTCTGTGCCTGCCGTACGTCGGCACAAAATTAACCCGGGTCTCCTCTTTACGCCCCAGAAGGCAGGCGGGGTTGGTCTGGCCTCGTTCGAAGTA